ACTTCCTGCTCCACTCTCTACTGGGTCATGTGAAGGCATGAATGATCTGGGCTTCGAGGGCCACGCAGGGCCTGTCCGTCCACCACACGGTTTGGGGACCCTGGAGGCTCCAGTCGCCCGAGACATCCTCGGAGAACGACCCAAGTCCCAAAACCGTGCGGTGACCCCGAATCCACACCGACTCACCACACTGTGTGGTCACCACCCCGTTTGGGAGCCCCCGAAACACGAGCGAAGCGAGTGAGATGCGGCCCCGGGGCCAGGCCCACGTGCGTGACAGCTCCAGGGGCGCGTAAGAATACTCCAGATTTCGTAATAAAGGGAGGGGGGTCTCATTTCGGGGGGGGGTCTCTTCCAGGCTATCTTGGAGGGCCTGGGGTGGTCTGGGGACGATGTTTTGGAGGGTTCTCCCACGGGGGAGGTCTGAAATGGCTTGTCTTGGAGGGTCCAGACCCCCTCCCTTTCATAACGAAATCTGGAGTAGGTGAGGTCTGCGCCCGCGTGGCCACGAGAGCCTCCGCGTGGCTCCCCCCCCCCACACGCATTCCGTCGGCCGCCTCGCGCACTCCGCCAGCCGATTTCAGAAATCCTCCCGGGCACGCGAAAAAACGACACGTGAAGCGTGCTCCCGGCGCGAGGCCCACGCGCGTGGCAGCGCCTGGGACAAGTGAAAACACGGTTGACATGCGCCCTCAGGGCTGCGGAAGCCCCGTTTCGGCGCACCCCTCACGCATCCCTTGTCTGGCATCATTCTTGAACGCGTAGGAAATACGAGTGATCAACGCCTCCATGGCAACGACACTGCCACTTCAGCACACCCCTCACGCACTTCCTGCTCCACTCTCTACTGGGTCATGTGAAGGCATTAATGATCTGGGCTTCGAGGGCCACGCAGGGCTCAACTCTATACACGCCTCATGCATTGCCTGCTCCACACTCTACTGGAACAAATGAAAGTACGAGTAATCTGCGCTCCGAGGCCGTTCGACACCCCACGGGACACCAGCATGGCCCCAAGAAACATTGCCACGGTTGGTGCTGACCCTCGTCGAGGCAGCATCCCTTACACCCACTGATTTCAAAAACGACGCACAAGCTTCCCCCTGGGGGCCCGCCGTGACTCCCGCTCTTCGGGCCCCATTCGGTGGGGGGGCCCCTGCGGGCCATGGCCGTGATGTAAGCTCCGAGGGTAGATGATGCGATGGTGAACGGCGGAGGAGAATGAGATGGCATGCTGAAGGCTCGCCAAGAGGGGCTTCGCGGATTCCGCGGGCCAATGAGGCCTACGTCTATTTGTCCCGATCAGAATGCCAATGCAGTGCGCCCCACGGGCTAGGCCCATGTGCGTGACAGCTCCAGGGGCACGTGATAACAAGAGCGCTTCGAGCCCCGACGGCTTCAAGTGAGCAACGCCTTCATGGCTACGACACTGCCATTCAGCACACCCCTCACGCATGTCCTGCTCCCAGGGACTCGTGCAAATACTCATGATCGGCGCTTCGAGGGCCACGAAGGGCTCAATTCTATACGCCTCATTCATTTCCTGCCCCACACTCTACTGGGACACGTGAAAATACGAGTGGTCTGCGCTCTCAAGCTGCTGAGACATGTAAAACAACAGGCGATGTGGCCCCCGAGGCTCATGCGGGACGTAAAACTACAAATGACTTACCCTTCCATGCCGATGGGAACCTCAATGCGGCACGCCGCTCACGCACTTCGTGAATTTTGGACGCTCTGGCGGCCCCCGAGTCGTCCGCTTCTTTGGAGCCTCAGTTCGGCACACCACTCACGCACGCCGTGCCCCATGGACCCAAAAAGGGATTCGGCCTGACCTCCAAGCCCGCCTAACCCCCCAAGGGGCGCAAACACGCACAAGAAACGTTGCAACGATCAGTACCGACCCTCGTCGGGGCAGCGTCCCTTGCGTTCATTGTTTGCCAAATCTGCGCGCAAGCTTGCCCCCAGGGGGTGAGGCCGTGACTCCCGTTGTGCGGGCGCGATACAGGAAACTTGGAGGGAGGGGCCCTTGGAGGGAGGGTGTGTTGCAACATCGTGGATGCGTTTTGGGTGTACACTTGTCCTTTTCCGCCTTCCGTTTCCTTTTCCACCTCCTCCTCCTGCTCCTCCTCCTCCTCCTCCTCCTCCTCCTCCTCATCCTCCCATCCGCCTCCTCCTCCTCCTCTTCCTCCTCCTCCTTCGCCTCCTCCTCCTCCTCCTCCTCCTCCTCCTCCTCCTCCTCCTCGTCCTCCTCCGACTCCTCCTCTCCTCCTCCTCCTCCTCTCCTCTCCTCCTCCATTTTCCTCTCCCATCCTCTCCTCCTCCTCTCCTCCTCCTCCTCTCTCCTCTCCTCTCCTCCTCCTCCCTCCTCTCCTCCCTGGTCCTCCTCCTCCTCCTCCTCCTCCTCCTCCTCCTCCTCCTCCTCCTCCGCCTCCTCCTCCTCGTCCTCATCATGCGTCTCCTCCTCCTCCTCATCTTCCTCCTCCACTTCTCCTCCCCCGTCTGTCATCCGTCTATTCCTCCTCCTCCTCCTCCTCCTCCTCCACCTCTTCCTCCTGTTCCTCCTTTTCCTATTCCTCTTCCTCCTCAGTTTCTCCTCGTCTGTCTGCCCTCCTCCACTGGATAAGTAGGAAGGGGCGGCCAGATGAGGCCGACTAGGAGGAGGATGAGGAAAGGGACGAAGGACGAAGGACGAAGAAGAGGAAGAGAAAAAGGAGGGAAGAGCAGGTGGGAAGGGAGGGAGAGCAGGGGAGAAGGGGGAAAGAAGGGGAAGGGAGGGGAGAGAAGGGGCGGGAGGGGAAAGGAAGGCAGAGGGGGGGAAAGGAGGGGAGATGAAGAGAAAGCGAAGAGCCGCTGGAAAACCATAGCCCATGGCCTTCCCCAGCTGGCAGCCGTAGAGCGCCACGTCTGACTCCCTGGCACGTCGGCATTGTATTCCCACCCTCCCCCATCCAGCTCATTAACATCACCCCCCATCCTCCTCCCACCCCCCGCCACGCCCGCTGCTCATTGACAGAATCGCCCTCGTCATTTTCATCATCACCATCATCACCATCATCATCATCATCATCACCATCATCATCATCATCAGCATCATCATCATCATCATCATCATCATCATCATGATCATCATCATGATCATCATCATGATCATCATCATCATCGTCATAATCATGATCATCATCACCATCACCATCACCATCATCACCGTCGTCATCACCAGCATCATCCATCACCACCGACATCGATCCCGTTCGAACAGTCATAGTCCTCGTATGTATCGTCAGTACCCCCTCCCTTTCGTCCCCCACGTCCTCGTCGGCACGATCCGTATGACATGCCCCCACGAATTCTTATCCCCCTAGCATCCCCTTCCTGATACCCATCCTCCATAATCCTGCTCCCTCCTTTCATCCTCAGAAGTATCATCATTACACTGCGTTGTATCATTCCTGCCCTACTTGTTTCCCCTCTGTTCCCCGCCCCCGCCCTCGCCCCCCATTTCACTTTCGGGGGGGGGGCAATGCAAGCAACCTGCAACAGCCAATTACCCTGTAAAGTACCCAACACGAAGGCGCAAGAAGCGAGCGAGGCCTGGCTCGCCCGCCACCTTCTCCGCCTCGTTCTTGCACGCCTCAGCACGGAAACTAAACGCCCGCAGGCGCGCCGCCAAGTTTGCGGGCGGCCCAGGGCAGGAAAATCAAGGTCGGGGTCGCGTATCATCACAAGATTGTCTTCCTTTGTCGCGCCGTGGAAAGCATCGCGCAAGAGATGCAGCCAAAAGGAGTCCATGTCCTTCGCGTCGTTGAACCGGCGTCGACAATGACTCCGCGGCACATGGTCCAGCCCTGGCAGGCCGTGGACGCCAGGAGTTCGGCGCGACAGGTAAACAAGCCACTGTACATTGGCCTTACACATGCGGAAGTCAAAAGGGCTCGAAGCGTGCGTCTCGATGGAAAACGAAACCCGCCGCGTCCGCGGCGTCGATGATGCGGTCGAGCTCCGCGAGCTTCTTGCCGCGAGCGTCAAAGAATGCGCATGGCATCCAGAGGCACAGGCTTGGCATGCTTGACAAAGGATGTATGAAAGGATGCGCAGGTCCGAAAAATCGCCAAACCATGTTCAAGGCGCCCTAAGATGGCACCCGATCAGCCCTCGAAAAACCCACCAGCCCTATGGGCTTAGGTGGTATAACGCGTTTTTCCTTCTCTCTTCCAGTGAAACCCCTCCCCCTACCCCCTCCCCCGGGCCTGGACGGGGCGCGCCGCGAGGCGTTAGAGCGTCCAAGATGGCCCAAGATTGCTCCAAGAGGCGTTCAAAGTCGCAAGATGGCCTCCAAGATGGCCCATGTTACTTCAAGATGGGTCAAGATAGCCCCCGACCTACCCCCAAGAGGCCCCAAGACAGCCCCAAGACGGATCCAAGTGCCCTTCGAGCCCTCCACGGCGCTCCCCAAGATGCCAAAACCCTTCAAAAGCCACGGGAAACAATGTGCTTGGCAGTCTCGCCTTTTCGCTTCCGATGGGCTTTGGAAACCTCAAAGCGGCACCATGATGGCCCAAAAGGGCCTCAAGAGGGGCCCAAGAAACCCGAAGACGGCCCCAAGATCGCCCAAGAGGCGCCCAAGAGCGGCCCAAGAGAGCCCCAAGACGCCGTTTGAAAGCCTCCGATGGGGGGGATTCTAATTGAAGGACCTCCTCTTTTTGAGCCACGGGGCCCAAGATGGCCCCAAGAGGCCTCCGAGCCTCTCCCAAAGACCTTCCACCCCGCCTTTCTTGGCCCAAGATGGCTCCAAGAGAGCCCTAGATAGCCCAAGATGGCCTTCAAAATGGCGGGGGACAGCCAAGCATGGCTCAAGATAGCCTCCGACAGACCTCCAAGAAACCTCAAGACAGCCTCAGAATGGCCGAAGATAGCCGGACATGGCTCAAGATAGCCTTCGACAGCCAATAGCCAAGCATGGCTCTAGATAGTCTCCAAAGAGACCTCAAGAAAACTGGCAGTCAATTCTGGATGGGCTGGTGGAGATACTTTTTTTTGGTCGCAGCCGCAAGCGAAAGCGCAGGCGGCGCCAAACCGCTGGTGGGGGCACTTTTTGGTTGCGACCGCGCAGCAGAGGGCAGGCGGCGAAAGGGGCCGAACTAGCTACTAAGCGCCACGCGAGCCGGCCGGGCCAAGGCGGTGGGGATAGTTTTTTGATTGGTCGCGTCTGCAAGCGAAGGCGCAGGCGGAGTCAGAAGCGTTCCGGGGCGCGGTAACGGCCTAATTAGCTACTGGAAGCGCCGCAGGCAGGCCGGGCCCGCTCACCAGGCAGCTTTGTGCTGCGCGGGAAAGCTGACAGGCCGAGGGCACCCAGAGAAGCTCGGGCACTGTGCAGCCTAGCAAAATGCCAGGAAATTCTGTGTATGCCACGCGGCATGACCCACTCAGAGAGCGCGAAGACGCGTGCGCAGATGTCTACGCGCCTCACACGAGTGGCGGGGATACTTTTTTGGGGTCGCGGCCGCGAGCGAAGAGCGCAGGCGGCGAACAGGGTGTCCAGGCCGACGGGCAAGCCTAATTAGCTGCAAGACGCGCCGCTGGCCGGCCGGCCGGCCCACTCACTAAGCAGCCGCGGGGCTAGCGGTGGGGATAATTTTCTTGGTCTGCGGCCGCGCGACAGCGGTCTGGCGGCGAGGGGCAAAGTCCGGGGCAGGCGGCGCGATGCGAATTTGCGAACACAACCGCCACGCCGGCAAGCCTAGTGGTGGGGATATTTTTTTGATTGGCGGCTCACTAAGACAGATCCATGAAGCGGGGCGGTCTCGGCTGGGGCACAGGGCGAAATAATTAGCGGCGACGGCGCATAGGCCGACGCCGCTGGTGCACGTGCCAGGGACAAAATGCCCCCCATTAAGACGCAGGCGACCCGGAAGCGGGGACGCAGGCATCAGAAGGAAACTGACGGAGGAGAAGTCGCACAGTGGCGCCAGCTCAGTCCGTACCGACCAGCGCGCAAGGGCGTAGGTCACGCCGCGCCGTGGCAGCACGGAGGGGCCAGCGAGGCCGCACCGCCCAACGCGACGAGGAGGCGAAGGAACGGAAAAGGGCGGCGGGCGCGAGGGCATGCGAGGACAGGAGAGGGGGGGAACCGAGGAACGCCTCACTCACATGGACTCCTGGAAGTACTCGGGCATGAGCGACCGACCTATGCAAGGAAACGTCGGCCCTGTCTTCCGAGTCCACAACCTGCAACTGCCTGACTCTGAAAGCCGGGGGGATGCAGCTGCAAGCGCTGGTCGAGCACCACGGGCCACCCTGCGGGAGGGCCGAGAAGCACTGCCAAAGGATATGCCACTTGTGCAGTAGCACGAGCTCGAAGGCGGCGCC